GGTCTTAAGCTAATTTTTGTAAAACTACTTTCATATTTTTTTTTCATTAGTTTTAGTTGAATAGGGAGTCTTTATCCCAGTATTTGGTGTTCTTGGTTTTCTTTCAACTGGTGACCTGTAGATTCTTTCTATTTTTACTTTGCTCTTTGGTTCTAGGAGTTCTGTGTAGTTTTCTTTTATGATTGGTTGAAATTTGGTAAACAGGTTTTTTGTTTTATTGTGATTTTCAAGGAGTTCACTGTGTTTTTCCCCCTGTGAAATATATCTTCCTGATTTTTCTTTTAGCTCAACTCTCCTGATTTTAGAGATAGAATTGTTGTGATCTGTATGAGTGTTAGGAGTACTTGCATCAGGGAAGATCCTTGATGGAGGTGGAAATTGGATGAAAATTGTATGGTCACATTGGCTATAGAGATTCAGTGAAATGTATACTTATTAATTTGAATCCCTTGAAAATCCTGTGTAGAACTGGAGAAAAAAGTCCTAGACTCTGCTACTTCCTTTCTGTGTGACCTTAATCAGATAACTTAACTTTACTGATCTTTGGTTTCCTACTAGACAAAATGGAGGTTTCTTGAACTAGATGGCTTCTGAAGTTTCTTCCAACTCTATGACCCTATGAGAAGGGAAAAAAATGTGATATATTTAAAAAGGAGTCTTCCTGTTAGGAAGCTAGAAATGTTTGATAGTACAGTGTGTTGTGTTTTTCAGTGGATAGAAGAGAGTGTTTCTCAAATAATTCCGCAGAGTCCCACACATATATTTAGGATAGTACACTATAGATTTAGGGGAGTGAGTCACAGGAGCATAGTATCGGAGATTTAGATCTGGAAGAGCTCCTCCTTTTATAGATGAGGAAAATGAGTCCCAGAGAGAAGTGACAGCTAGGTTCACATAAGTAGCAAGCTGCAGAGAGGGTACTTAAACCCAGGTCCTCTGATTCTAAATTCAGTGCTCATTGAAAATAGCTAACTTAAAATATAAATATTTGTGCACAAAATGTGACTCAGTTCCTTCCCTTCCCACCCCACAAATAGTTGTTAAGAATATATTTGCCAGCACTGAGATGAAATGCAATACTGTATTTATTCTATTTGTAGTTTGGGAATGTGCTCCTGATGACTAGGAATGTTCTCTAGTTTTTCTATAAAATCATTTCACTGAACTCCAGCATGATGGAATCAGTGCCTCTTGGGCAAAGCTGATGGAATAGTACCACCTGCTTTTTGCCTAGTGGGCTCCTGACTTCTGACAAAACATTGGCTGCAATAATGCTAGATTCTCAAAATCATTTCCGTTTGCTGGAGTCTGAATGTGTCAACATTTGTACTACTGACTCACCCTTTGTCTTATGTTTTCTCCACTTTATATTTTAGATTTTCATTTCACTCCCCATTTTCTCTTGCTTTTCAAGAGGCATGGTGGACACAGTGCTAGATTTAGAGTCAAAAGACCTGGATGGGGATTTCCAGTTCTATAATTTCTAGCTGGGTAACTTTGGACAGATCACTAATAATAGCTGATGTTTTACATTGTACCTTACAGACATTAGGTCATTTGACTCTCACAACAATCTTGTGAAGTAGGTTCTATAGTAGTTACAAGTGACCTAGTTCCCCTGTAAAGCCTCTGGGGTCATCTGAACAGGCTTGATCTTGGGGAGTTGGGGGGTTGATGCCAATACACATAGGAACTCCTAAGTACATTAAAAAACATATAAAGTACTCAAATAGTTATGAAACTCTCCTTATAAGGTAATCATATTTTGGGGAGAAAACATGAACACATATTAAATATAGACATAAATATGTAAATACAAGATAATTTTGTGAAGGGGAGGCACTTGCAGCTGTGTGGGATTATCAAAGGTCTTAGGAAAATGGTGATGTTTGAGCTAAGCTTTTAAAGAAAATAGGGGATTTTAAAAGGTAGGTGAGTAGGGAATATTTTCCAGGCGCGATGATGGGAAATGGAACATTGTGAATGAGGATCAGCAAGAAGGCTGATTTTGCTGGATTTCAGAATGTGTTCTTTCCCTTATGTCATGAAGTGATCTTCTGAACACAGAGTTTTGATTATACTGGTGTCATACTGGGTTTAGGGGCAGAGAAACAAGGCAGAATACACTGCATTTCTTTCCTATGTTCTCCCTTTCAATGAAGCTATAACTTGGGTAGGAAGAATGACAACTTTAAGAATAGCTTTCTCTGAAAGGAGGAAGAAAAAAGTCACTCTCAAAGCCTTTTCTCTGTAGTGAGATACTTAGTGGCTAAACTGTGTGAGAGTAAATTTATAGTGTTCATAATGTGGACAGTTCTCTTACTATCTTGGCCTTGTTCCGCTGGGGGTGGGGATTTGAAATGTCTGGCTCTTTAAATATTCACTAGTCAGCATAGAGGGGAATTGCATAATACATGATGGCATGATATGCATTATAGGTGGTATGTTGAAATGTTTGTTGCATTTTTTCCTTCCTGAAATGACTTTGTATGTACTTTGAATTTATTTGTGTACATGTAGAATGCAAGCTCCTTGAGGGCAACTGTATTGTTTTTGGCGTAGGGGAAAGAATGATACAATGGAAAGGCACTGCTTCTGGAGTGAGAGGACCTGGGTTTAAATCCCACTGCTGACACTACATATAAGATTTGGTGTAAATCATTTCACTATCTTTGTGTATATAGGTGGCACAGCAGATAGAGCACTGGGTTCAGGAAGACCTGTGTTAAATCCAGTTTCAAATACTAGTTGTGTGGGAAATGTTTATACAATAAAGGGGAAAATAGAAGTTTAGGGGCTGGCAGTGCTTGAACCTCATTCTTATCTGAACTAATTCAAAGAGAGAAGAATATACATATATACACAGTTAGGTACAGAAATTCCTCTTACCCAACAGGAATATAGGAAGGGAAGGGCCCAAGAGAAAGGAAGGGGGTGAAGTAAGAAGGAGGGTAGATTAAGGGTGGTGATGGTCTGAAGCAATTAGTAGGTGCTTAATGAGTGCTTATTGAATTGAATTATGTCCGGAGGCTTATGTTTTAGCCCTGCGTTTTTCACTAACTACCTTAGTGAACTCAGGCAAGTTGGTCCATCCTTCTTGGCTTCAGTTTCCTCATCTGTAAAATGATGGGTTTGGACTATATGACCTCTTGAATCCCTTCCAACTCTATGCCTATGATCATGATATTTTTGTTCCTTCCAGATATAAAATAACACATGTGAAAGATTTACAAAAAGTGCAGATGTTTTTGCCTTCAATTTTGTTTTATTTTTAAAGGTCAGAAAGTTCAAATACAAACCAAGAGTTTTTGCTGATCTTCACCCTCCCCATAGTTATGACCTTCAGCCTATTGCCAGCTTTGATATCCACTACCCTACATAAATCATTAATTACACTGTGTTAAGAGATTCACTTGGATAAGAGAAAGGAAAACTTGTCCTTAAGCAAATTTCTTTCTTTTTTTCCATGTAACCCACATTGAGTTTCTGAAACATTAATTACATTTTCAAGATGCAAAGAAAGACAGTGTTTAGAGGGCACTCCAACCTCATGTTTTAGGGATAAGTTAGTGCCCTTTAGAGTCAAGTGAGGGCCTAATTGTGCTTTGCATTCCAGGTTTTTCATTTAATTTCTCTGGAGCTGCTACAGATAGAACACTAGAACAGCACCTTGGTTAAGGTGGAAAATAATAGAACAGGTTAAGTCCAGGAGAGCTACTTCTTCCTCATTTAAACCTCTACCTCCTCCCAGCACATCAAGTCAAAATGTGAATGTCTGTTCATTGCCACAGTAGCTTAAATGGTGATTTTTAAGGGGAGAGTTTAATTTTAGTAGCTTTCATATCGATTGCCAGGAAGCATGAATAGTCTAGCACTTCAGTGCAACGTCTCTGAGAAAGGAACAGAATTCTAAACAGTTAGCCCACAGCTGGGTCCAGGATGATTTTACAGAATGAGAAAAGGTACATATCACAGTAAATCCATCAGAAGCTAGCAGTTGTGCACAGGTGGCAAAATGGTAGGAGTCAACATCTTTAGAAGGTATATTATGCACCTAGAATAAAGACACATGTGATTTACTGAAGTGATAAGTGTATTTCTGATTGAACATGAATGATTCATTGTGATTATTTTATTATCATCATTTGAGGCTCATCAGTTAAACCTCAGACTTTTCCCCAGCCCCCCAAATTAGGGATTCTCTGAAATGGCACTTCAATTTTTTTTTTTTGATGGTGTTTTTCTGTGGCATCGTCTCTTACTGCTTCTTGCCACTAGATGGAAGAAGTAGGTTAACAAAATGATTTTTTTCTTTCGGTGTTATAAGATCAACTGAATTCACTTTACCTAGGAACAGCCATTAAAGTAGGTTGAAAATCATGACAATATCAGTAGTCCTGCTTCTAGTCATCTTTTTTATTTACTTATTTAAAATTAAAATCTAATATTTAAAAAAATTAAATGTTTTTAATTATTATTAAATTAAAATTTTAATTTTAATTTAAAAATTTATTGTTGACAGGTTTCAGTGTAAACAATGAAACTTGCCTAGGAAATGTTTATATTGAAAATAATTCATTTTAAAACATAAGACTGTTCTAACTCGTTTTCTGTCCTTCCCTTTATAATAGTCATCAGGATTCTTTGTCTCTTCATTCTCATTCACTTTTCCTCACATGATCATAGTGTATATTCCATTCTTCTGACTCTGCTTCTTTCATTATTACATATAATTATTTTCTAAATCTCTTCCCCTCTTGATCTCATACTTGCCCATCTTCTTTAAATCATATTATCCTATTATGTTAATTAAATATTTAGCTGTTTCTTGGTTTTTGGAATTTATATTGCTTTCAGTTTTTTAGAAAATCATACATAATAACTTTGAAATTTTTTTATCAAACAGCTTTCATGGTTGCTGTCTTTGAGAATACTTTCATGTGAAAATATATTGAAATACATTATTTGTAAGACTTCATTTTTTCCCTCTTATTTTGCAGTGCAAGAATTTTCAAAATTAGCCATGGAAAGAAATCATTATTGGATAGAGGAAGGAAGGTAAGAATGATTATTTAAGAGTTAAATAAGAAACATTTTTGACTTCTAATTTCCTAGAAAAACTTATTGCCCCAAAAGAAAACACACACAATTGGAAAATATCCAAAAAGAAAAGCACAACAATTGTGTAAGGTTTTAAAATTTAATGAAGGGGGGAAAAGAATTCTTTTAACAAATTAAAAGAGCCATCTCATTAATTTTAAGGCATATATGACACCACATATCATATATCTATGAAATAACTTTGCTGTACCTTTGTAGATGTCTCAAGGAGATGTCCAAGAGGCAGAGTGACTTGCCCATAGTGTCACACAACTAGTGTGAGAGGCAGGGTTTGAATAAATGACTTCCTGGTCCCAGGTTCAGCTTAATTTCCACTCTGCCACACTTTGTCTGACACTTATAAATATGAAAACTAAGCAGAGCAGAATAGAATGTATATCCAGGGAGAACAGAACTGAGTTCAGAGGTAATTGGTCAGGGACAAGGAACATCCCCATAATGATTTAGGAAATGGCCATGAAGACTCATGAATACGGAATGTTTATTGCTGTTGTGTGACTATATATAGGAAACAATCTTGAGAAACTTAGCTTGGTAAATTGAAGGAATTAAGTTGCGGTTAACTGAGTAATTTGAATTGGTTAGTTTCTCCCATTCTCCCATTAAGACAGTCTTAATCACTCTTAATCATCTATATATTCTGAACAATAATACAGTGATACTTGAGACAAATAATTAGAATAATAATAATAGCTAATATTTATATAGTACTTAAAGTTTATAAAGCACTTTACCTCTATTATCTCATTCTATCTTCACAACCACCATGTCAGGAAGATGCTATTATTATCCTCATTTATATAGGTGTAAACAGGCTGAGAGAGGTTCACACAGGGTCACAAAGCTAATGTCTGAGGTGGTATTTGAACTCAAGTATTCCTGATACCTAGTCCTATAGTTTATACATTAAGCCAGGATGACCCCTAATCAACTTTTATATAGCACCTTAAAATTTTCAAAAACATTGATGAACATTTTCTTATTTGCGGTAGGACACTATCTAACCAAATAACACCCGGTAGTTGTCCACTACTATGCATGACATGGGGATTCTCTTCTCTTCTCTTCTCTTCTCTTCTCTTCTCTTCTCTTCTCTTCTCTTCTCTTCTCTTCTCTTCTCTTCTCTTCTCTTCTCTTCCCTGAAAGCAATGAACTTGAACTCTGGTATTAATAATGACCATAAAACTACTCAGCTTTTAAATCCAACCATAGAACTTGATTGTATGACCTTCCATGGAAGTACCTGCTACAGGTTAACTAAAGGTTATGAAGTAGTATTTCCTATTCATAGTCATGATATCATTAGCTTGCACTTTCAAGGACTGCTTTGTTCTACAAGGGGGTGAGGTTTCTAGTCATTGTAATTTTCAATAATTTGACTGCTAGATTGAGATATTTTTCTTTTTCATATTAAGTAACCCATGGGATTTTTTGAAAGTGCTCATCCTATAATCTCCCACCTACCTTATATCTCTAAAATGATTGGTATATTAAAAGAACTAGAGAAAAGTCTAAGAATGTTAGGTGGATCATTGATGAAAGAAAATCACAAAAAAATGAAGACAAAGAAGGCAGTTAGGTGTTGCAATGGACAGAGAACTGGGCCTGGAGTCAGGAAGACCTGAGTTCAAATCTGGCTTCAGATTCTTACTAGCTGTGTGGCCACAAGTTAAGTCTCTTAACCTCTATTTGTTTTAGTTTCCTCATCTGTAAAAGGGGGATAATAATAGTACCTACCTCTCAGGTTTGTTGCGAGGATCAAATGACATAATAATTGTAAAGTGCTTAACACAGTGCCTGGAACATAGTAAGCTTCATGTAAATGTTAGCTATTATTATTATTTAACAATTTGTACTGGTGTAAGAGATTCTCAGACTGATAAAAATGCATTGAAATGGGGCAGCGGGGTACCACAGTAGATAGAGCATTGGCCCTGGAGTTAGGAGGACTCAAATCTGGCCTCAGACACATAATACTTACTAGCTGTGTGACTCTGGGCAACTCACTTAACCTCAATTGCCTTACCAAAAAAATTCATTGAAGTATTGATATATGATTTCTACCTTCAGTTCATTATTATTTTGATTAATAGATATATTAATAAAGCCTTGTATACTTGTAAAAGGGGCTTAGTAGGGTTTTTAGAAGTTCCCAAAGTGGGCAATACTGCCCCTGGGGGGTACTGAAACAATCCAGGGGAGTGGGTAGTACCTTCGGGTGCAATTGGGGAATGTCGAATAAAAATAAGGGGGTGGTGGAAGCATGAGGAAAGAAGAGAACAAAATTTTGAAAAACTGTTCACATGTGTTTCATCTGTGGTGTAATAGTTAAAGTTGTAGTGATTACATTATTTTCCAAATAAACACACAAAATGTAAATTATAACTGATCAGTGGTCAAGTCAGCAGACAGGTCTTAAGAAGCAAGTGCTGGCAGGAAAGCATGTCAGCCATTGTCAGGAAGTCCAGTATGCATTGGCAGGCACATATGTGTGTAATGACTTGTTTACAATACAATACTATATGGTTACATGATGCAATACTGAGTTATCAAAATTTCAATGCTGGAAAAAACCCACAAATTTATAATAAATTATCAAATTTAAGATGCATCATTTAAAAATATTTTATATTTTTTGAAATGATGCAAATAAAAAAAACTCAAAGGGTTAAAGAAAGTAGATTTTGGCAGGGCCGGGGCTGAGTAATTTTTTTTAAAGGGGGCAGTAGGCCAAATAAGTTTGGGAACCTCTGGTTTATGTAAAGCTTCCTTTCCTATTCCTAGCCAAGCACACATGTACTAGAATCCACATAATCTTTCATCCAGAGACTGTACTCCTCTTGCTATTCTTTGAACAAGACACTCTCTTTTGACTCTGGGCATTTTCACTGGAACTCTCTTCCTCCTCGTTGTTTCCTGACTTCCCTGGCTTTCTTCTAAGTCTGGGATAAAGTCACATCTTCCGAAAGAAGATTTTCCTGATCCTCCTTAGCCTCTCTGATTGTTGTTTTCATGTTATTTCCCCCATTAAGCTGAACTCCTTCAGAACAGGAGTTGTTTTTTTTTTTCTTTGTATCTTTAGCAGTCAGAACAGTGCCTGACACATAATAGGTGATGAATAAATGCTTGCTGACTTGAAAGGGCTTCAAAGATCAAGCCAAATGCCTTCATTTTTTACAGATGAAGAAACAGAGACACATAGAGGTCAAGTGACTTGCCCATGGTCTCACAGCTAGTGTCTGAGGCAAGCTTTGAACCTACATCTTTCTAATTTCAAGTCCAGTATCCTATAAATTATTTTTGGTACTTTGGAGAGGTTGAGGCAGTACTCTCATTAGCCACTGAGTGAGAAGAACTGATGACTCAGTGGACCTTTAAAAAAAAGGAATGAATGTTTTAATTTTGTTAGGTTAAATTCTATGAGAATTTAACAAATTTGAAAGACAGTAGGTTTTAATCCTCATCCAGTAATTATAGACCCTACAACTGTATGGGACCTTTAGATCACACAATCCAATATCTTCATTTTACTGGTGAAGAAACTTGGAGGAAATAACTTGGCTAAGGTCACACAGTAGTAATTGAGTAGCAGAACTAGAATTTTGCACCATATAAATTTTAGGAATTTGATTTAACAAAGAAGTTGAGATACCCAGTAGGAAGTTAATAATATAAGACTGTAGGTTAAGAGAAAGATTAGGCTGCATATGTAGTTTAGATGTTGTCTGTTTAGAGATAATAATTGAACTCATAGAAACCAATTATTTCACCTGGTGATAGAGAAGAGATGAGAAGAGAGCCTAGAATAGAGCCTCTTCTTTAAACTTTCTTTTTTCTGGGTTTTCATGACCCTGATCTATCCTGATTCTCCTGTTACCTATCTGACCATTCCTTCTTAGTTTCCTTTGCTAAATCTTCATCCATTAGCTCCCATGGATTCAATTATCTCTGTTCCAATGATTCTCAAATCTACTTATTGAATTCTAAGCTCTTTTCTGACCACCAATCTCACATCTCCAACTGTTTATGCTTATTAGACACCTCAAGCTGGATGTCAAAAAACAATTTGTTATGTTGCCAAACCCTCTCCTTTCCCTAACTTCTTTATTGTTGTTGAGGGTACTACTATCCTGTCTGTCATCTAGGCTAGCAACTTTGGTGTCATCCTAGACTCTTCACTGTCACTCATAAACCACTCCCCCTATCCAATCTTTTGCCAAATCCTTACAATTTTGCCTTCAGACATTTCATAACATTTATATGCTTCCTTCTCTCCCTTAATACTGCCATCACTACAGTGCTGGCCCTTGTCACATCAATCTTGGACTATTGCTACAGCTTGTTGTATATATCCCTGCCATGGATAGTGTGCTGAGCCTGGTATCAAGAAAACTCATCTTCCTGAGTTCAAATCTGACCTCAAGACACTTACTAGCTGTGTAACTCTGGGTAAGTCACTTAATCCCATTTGCCTCAGTTTCCTCATCTGTAAAATGAACTGGAGAAGGCAATGGCAAAGCACTCCAGTATTTTTGTCAAGAAGACCCCAAATGGGGTCACAAAGAGTTGGACCCAACTGAAAAAACACTGAACAACAACTTCCTGCCTCAAGTGTCTCCCTACTCCACTTTATTCTCCATTCAGCTGTTAAAGTGATCTTTCTAAAGCACAGATGTAACCATGTCACCCTCTCCCCCCACCCTCCATTCAATAAACTCCTGTGGTTTCCTTATTATCTCCAAAATCAAATATAAAATTCTTTGGTGTTCAAAGCCCTTCAAAATGTGTTCCCTGCTCCCTTTTTAGTCTTCTTATACTATGCCTCCACCTCTACACACCCACACACCCACACCCACACACCCACACCCACACACACACACCCACACACACACACACACACACACACACACACACACACACACACACAC